AATACAAAAAAAGTTATATGTACTTTAATATAAATAAAAAACACAGTTATGATGTGGTTTGTAATATCTAGCTTTCATGGCCAATCACTGTTCTTGTTCTGAGAACCAATCAAATGTTAGTAACTGCCAGTAGAAGATGACATCATGTTTACACTTGAAACAATTCATTATTTTGCTTTGTTCTGTAGAAGGAGGACCTGTTTCTTATACACTGCAATTACAAGTAGGAATTTTTTAAAAAAGTTTTAATATTTAGTCAATTTTAATATTTACATCAAATAAAGCAATGACATCAAATAAAAAGAGTAGATTGGACACCTAGAAAGAGATGTAATATTATTGTGTTACGAGAAAGTGGTCTTTCCTATGCTGAAATTGAAAGACAGGTGGGTGGTTCAGTGACTACATCTGGAGTCCGAAAGTTTTGTTTACGATATCAGGAGACAAATTCAATAAAAAACAAAGAAGGAAAAGGCCGAAAAAGATGCACCACATCTATTGATGACAGAAGAATAAAAAGACTATGTCTCCAAGATAGAAAAATGTCATCAGCGGCCATCAGAAATGATCTGAATGATGCTGGTATTTCTGTCAGTTCAAGAACAATCAGGAGAAGATTAACAGATGTTGGACTGAGAGGTAGAATTCCACGAAAAAAGCCTCTTAATTTTCAGCAACGGGAAAAAAAAAAAAAAAAAAAAAAAAAAAAAAAAAAAAAAAAAGACTACAGTGGGTAAAGGAACACATTAATTGAACAGATGATTCAGTGGTCACAAGTTATATGGAGTGATGAAACTAAGATGTTATTCTGTAGTCATGGGCGAAAATATGTAAGACGTAGAATAGGAGAAGAGCTACATCCTGACTGCATTCAAGCAAATGTGAAGAACCCAGTTAGTGTTATGATTTGGTCATGCATGTCAGCAGATGGTATTGGTCGCCTTCATGCCATCGATGGAACACTGAAGGCCAGAAAATACATTGACACTATTGTAGAACCAAAACTTCTACCTTCCGTCAGAGATCTCTTTCCCAACAATGCTTCGTTTATTTTTCAGCAGGATTCTGCTGCTTGCCACACGGCCAAAATCGAAAGAGTGGTTTCGTACAAAGAGCGTTAAATTGTTGTCATGGCCAGGCCATTGAGGAAACAGTCCTGACCTCAATCCTATCGAAAATTTGTGGCACCGCTTGAAAACTCTTGTCCGAATGAGGGGCCCGTCAAATAAAAGGGAACTAATTGAGGCTATAATTGTTTCCTGGCATCATGTAATAACGAAAGAAGAGCTTAAAACTCTTGTCAGCTCAATGAAACGTCGATGTGAAGCTGTAATCAGAAATAAAGGGTACCCTACTAAGTACTGATAACTCACTGCAATCATCACTATCTAATGTATATCGATAACTATTATCGTTTAACTTTTTGTATTGTAAATAATTGAATTTTGTGTTTTGTAATGAATTCAGTAATAAATTCTCTTTAAAATGATATATACAAGTTGCATTTTGTGAAACGTAACGTTTTCTATAAGCATACAAATTTCAAAAACATAAAAATTTCCAAAAGTGTCCACAATTCAGCCACCACTGTATATATAACAAATATTCTCTATCGTATAAAGCTAGTTTAAAATTAATTGAAATTTTTTTATTTCAAAAACATTTTTTCGAATTTATACAAATCTTAACAGTTTGCAACATCTTTTTTTTTAACAAACCGTAACAGTTAACAATTTTTACATTTTTTTTACACATTTTTACAATCCTTCACAGTTAGCAAAATTTTTGCACATAGAACAAGCATTTTACATTACTTAAGAGTTTACAGCATAGGTTTCTTTTTTTTTTTTTTTTCCCCAATAGATCACACAGGTAGCAGCTTAATACTCAACTTTACATTGTATTAGCGCCCTCTATTTATACAGTTAGCAGAAACGAACTACTCATCAGCATTACTTTGTTTAGCAAAGTGTTAATTTAATGAAGATCACACAGGTGTTAGTTTTAATGAAGATCTACTCCACTCTCCGGAATACAGAATATGTAGTTTCTAGGTAAGTTAAATGACAACTTACTATTTACTTGCCTTTTTAGTATTATTTTTTGTATTTTTATAGATTGTATTTTGTTTATTTTTGGTTTACATGCATAATCCGTGTCGGGGAAGTTTTCAATAGGCAAGGTTTTCTAAATTACTTTGGTTTTCTACTCTTAATTACATTGGCAATTTACTTTTAATTAATATTTTGATTCCTAGTCAATTTGCTTACTAAATTTCTCAAAATTCCTTATAGTTTAAATTTCTTTTTTAAGCAATTCACTACATTTGGTTTTACTTTTGGTTTTGAATATTACTATATCCATATCTATACGGATGACGAAACACGAATTCAGTCATTGAAGAGTTAGGTTTGGAGGCAACTTCCCCTTCATAAGATCTGTCTCCTACCTGCTCAACAATTATTCATTTTATGCAAATTAATTTAGTCTTAATTTTTTTTTTAATTTTTGGGATTAATTTTTGGATTATTAAATATATTTTTCATGGTTTTAGATATTTGACCTTAATTTACATATGCTCTCAGAATTTAAATGATATTGTAAATTAGTTCTCAGCAATAATTAATCTTTTATTTGTATTTAATTAAAATTTAATAACTTAAAATTTTAATTTAAATTAACTTTATACAAATAGAGAATATTTGTTAAATTCAAATTGCCTTCCTTGCAGCAATGGTGCAAGATAATTTTAATTTAACTTTACTATTTATTCTTATGAAACATGTATATATATATGTATATAATTTGTAAAGAAAAACAGGGAGAAAAACTTGATTTTAAAATTTATTAAATTTTAATTAATTTTAAAATTTATTTAAAAAGCACTTAAAAAGTAAAATCCTGCGCTCCTGCAAAGATAACATTTAATTTGATAGAGAATAAGTAAATGAAAATTTATCTATAAGATGTGATGTGAAATTAGATGGTAAATGTGTACTCTTGTGGAAATTAAAAATTGCAGTTTGTAAATAATTAAACTATAATCGTTCATAAAATGCAAAAATAAAGACTAAAAACAATGCAAAAAATAAAAACTAAAATAAAGACTAAAAGCAATAGAATTATTGCTGATTCTAATAGAAAGATCCCGACTTATCAAAGGGAATTGTAACTAACAGTACAATGCATTCTACCGAACTTCACTCATGGCAACCCTTAGCGTCTATAACCTTATTGCTGTCATGCCGCCATTCTGAAATCCCCTTTGGTAAGGATAAAATGAAAGTAAAATTTACAATTAATTTTGCCTTTTAATATATGTAAAAAGTAACCCGTGAATTCGGATTTTATAAAATTGAATATAAATTTTAAATTGGATTAGGAATTTTGTTCAGGTATTCGAAGACGAAACACGCTTCTCCTGAATTGTTGGCGGTTGTGTGAAGAGGTCGGGGTCTTTCTACGCAATGAACAACAATTCAGCAAATATTTTATTAAATATTTGTGCACCAAAAATTTTGTATTCCTGCCTACTGGCAGAAATGCTTGTTTGAGCTCTTAATTTTAAGGGGGGGAAAAATGTTTTTTTTAACAATTTTTAATTGTATTTGGTGTTTTAGGTTTTTCTGTATGTTATAAATTTTAATGAAGATGTTTCGAGTTTTATGTATGTTTGCCTTTCCGCGAGGTGAGAAATGAATTGATTGAATGAGAAATGTATCACTAATGAAATTCAAAGAAATAAATATATAAAAATGTGTATAATTTTATAGGCCGTACAAGGAAGTCGCGCAGTGTCCACATCATAGATGTTAAAAAGTCATATTGAATTTGGTAGCATTGATTTAATCTCGATTTATCTTCTCGGTGTGACTGTACAGGAACAGTACAAGATATTATTATTTTTAAATTGTGAAGCGTGTCCATTTAATAAGAAAAGTAAAGAAAAGAGGATTGATATAATGCAAGAACTACCATTTTTAATTGAAATTTTGATATATTAGCTCTTGATACTGTTAATGGTTTTGTTATTATAATTTTGTAATCCTCCTAAAATGTATATTCATATTATTAGAGATCAGTGTGATCCAACCTTTAGTTACCCGAGGGCCAATCAAACGACAAAAACACATGTTTTAAGATAATCTAACATACAAAATCATTCTACGGCAAGAAAAATGTAAAAAAAAATTAAGCCACTTTAAAAAATACTAACTGGAAATGATCATCCAAAAATAAATTACAGTATTATAAACAGCTACTTGTGAATTTTGAATAGCAAATATGAGTGAGGGCCAGAAACATTAAAGAAAGATCCTATTTTGGTAATACAGCGTTGAATTATTTCGTGGAGCTACAGCTCCTGGTAACATTTTAGCAAGATCGCTGCAATGTTTCTACCTACTATTAAATCACTAGTTTAATATATCACTTTATTTTACATTCTAGAAATCAATGTGATGATTGGCACTGCTTTTTTGATACACGTTTATCAATGCCCACTATAATTTCAGTAAGGCAAAGTCTCAGGCTCAATTCCAGTGAAGCACTTTCAATGCGATTTCTCGTTTTTGATTTAATTTGTGTGAGAGTAGAAAAAGTATTTTCACACACATATGTACTGCCAGACAGCGATAACATTTGCAAAGGGAATTTATGCAGTTTGAGAAAAAAAATCTTTAGAAATCAATTTCCAGAAATGTTTAGTGATATCACACTTTTTCGTCTGGTATAATGATCAGCCTGAATATCACAAATTTCCATTTGAAGGTCGCAAGGAATCACCAGTTACTTCAATCTCCATGAGGTTGTTTAACAATGAAAATTTTGTTTTTTAAGAGTTAAAATCCTGGAATTCTTTTTTGATATCAGTAATTATTTCATGAAACATACTAAAATTTGTATCATTTTCTTCTTTCAGCTGCTGGCAAAATGACAAGTGTGCCGTATTATTTTCCTTCAATGAAATTTGCATTACACTATTTTTCTTGCGAAAGCCTTCAATATGCCCGTAAAGCTGGGATATATTTTATTTCCTGCCTTGTAGTTTTCAGTTTAAAGCACTTAGATGGGATTTTTAAAGCCGTCAGAAAAGCAAGATTATTTAAAAACTGGATTTCTTCCAATTTTTCTTGATGCTCATGCCCAATGTTTTCTTTTGTGAGGAAAGCAAGAATTTCATTCCTCAATCCAAAAAACTGTTGCAGACAATTTCCAGCACTTAGCCAGCGCACTTGACAGTACCAGTACAACGAAATGTCACCATACTCAGGATCCGGATTGTCCACAAATGCAATAAATGCTCTCTGTTTCTGGGCTTTGCCTCCTCTCATTGAATTTACAATATTTACAACAGTTTTCATTGTCTCACTGAGCCGTATAATTTTTATTATTGAATTATTATATTTAATATAATTATATTTATTTAATATTTATTATTTAAAGCAATAAGAAGTGTATTTTGTTTTTCCAAATGTTTAACTAACTACGCTGTTATAGATCATTCTACTCGTTATATATGGACATTTTCTTCTACAGATATAACTACTTAAGCTTATATAAATTGTTTAAAACAATTTTTTCAGATACAAGTTCCAAAGAAACGTTTCAAGTAATATAAATGCAGCATTTACTTTTTCAAAATTTAAACATGTTTGAAAAATCATATAATGTTATATAATTATTAAGTATTACTAACCGACCACAAATTAATGAAAATGTAGAAAGAGTTCATCAAACACTTATAACTAGATTAAAACGTAAACTAAACTTTTATCAAGGTAATATTGCATGTGCTGCGTGCGTACAGGTTCGTTACGAAATGAATGCACAAGTCCGAGGAAAAATGGACAAAATTTTATTATTATCACAATAAAAATGATTAAATGTCCTCAAATAATCGTGCAGTATCACAATATACAACAGTAGTTATCTTCTAACTACTCAAACGTTCAATAGAACTTAATTCAAAACAGCTAAAGAAAGCTAATCCGCGAATTCGCTACAATCAACAAACTAAGTAACTACCCAAACTTGTAAGGATCCTAAGTTTTACTAACGTTTATTTTATTTTAAATCTTTACTATCACTTCTTATTTTCTACTTCCGGCCAGAATTAAAATCTTTAACTTATTTATGCAAATTTGTCTTGCTAACGCCAAGTACTTAAGTTGTGGCTTTTCGCCAAGCAAGAGAGAGGAAGGAGTGATCGGAAGCAAGCCGCTTGCCATAGTAGTTTTACTCGGTTGCTGGTTGCCTTCATGGCCAGAGGTTTAGTCCTCTTGATAAGTTCAAACGTATCGTAGTTTTAGCAGATCTCAGTACTACATACGGATTTTGTTAAATAACGGCCACTCTTAAAGCTAGGCCACTCTTAAAGTATATATTAATCCAAAGTTAGTTTTAGTTAGAGTTTTAGTTAGTAGTTTTATATTCTTACGTTCAGACCACAAGTGGTTGGTCTCTGTATTCCGAAGTTCCGGAAATCTCTGTAAAGAAAGAAAAATAAAGGGTTTCGTATACCCTTCCTGTGTGTATTGTCTACTTCACAATTTATTGAACATAGCTTGAGTAAGCTCCCTGTTCCGATTCGAAACAGTTCATGTTTCCAAAGCAAGTTAAGAGGAACACAAGTCCTGATAGTGGCGCCCGACGAAGAAGAATAACCATGGCCGAGTTTCAAGAAGAACCTGTGGTGCCTGCAGAAGAAGCGGCTCAGAATCCAGAAATGCCAGCTGCCGCCCTGGAAGGATTTGGGTACATCGTCCAGACCATGCGCGCATCGATGAAACCAGAAGCAACATTTAATGGAAACTCACCGTTAACAAGTTTTTTGGAAAAATTGGATGACCACTTCATGCTGTATCCAGCCCATGAGTTCCAGAAAGTCACCTTAGCTACCAGCGCTTTGAGGGGCCAAGCGCTTAATTGGTTCAGATGTATAGGCAGAAACCTCTTGGGTCAAGCGGGAAGTCCCACCTAGACTTACGAAAATTTTAAGACTGCCTTAGTAAAAGCCTTCCCTGTCGTAAGAAATCGTTCAAGATTAGAAGCAGAACTCTTCAGCATATACCAGCAACGAATTGAAAATCTCTCAAGCTTTATTTTAAGAAAAATTCACGTCTTTAAACTCTTGTATGGAAGCCGTCCGGATCCTGAGGTAAATTAAGTGATTTTGCCGAGGTTACTTCCCCAAGTACAAGACTTTATTGAATTAAGGAATCCGACTATACTGGAAAAGTTATTTGAGCTAGCAATCCAGTTTGAAAGTAGAAGAACGGCGGACATTGAACGAAGACGCCAGTATGAGCAACGAAGCCAATTTGGTGCGCCAAGACCACAGCAAAGGCAAGAACACGGCTACGGAAGCAAATCGAATCAGTGGCCAAGGAAACCCTGAGTATCCAAAAACAACCGGCGAACGTCGACAGTTCAATAGTAAGTGAGGAAAAAAGTCTGAAGGCCAGCGGAAAAAAGAAGGAAAGCATGGAAAGGAAGAAAGAAAATTTAAACTAAAACGGATTTCTGCTGACGGGAGGGTACGGAAATCCGAAGGCCAAGAAAACCCCTCTTCCTTCAAGTTAAATACAGTTATTCTGAAAAATTTGACTCTTCCAAAGATTCAAGTTTTGGTGAACAACATCCCAGCCACCGCACTCCTGGATACAGACGCGCAGTGTTCCTGTGTGGCAGAAGATTTTTTTTAGGAAGTACTTCCGTAGATACCGAATAGAATATATAATTCGGATAATACGACAGTGTTAGCTGCGCAGGGAGAAAGATGCAAATGCATAAGTAAAATAACATTATATATTCGCATTAAGGACGAGCAAGTAAAGATCATGTTTTTTATCGTAAAAAATTTACAAGCACATGTCATTTTAGGGATAGATTTTCTTTCAGAGGCAGAAGCAACGCTGGATTTTAACCAAGCGTCCCTTAAGCTGACCATGAAACCAGTTCTGGAAGAAAAAAGAGAACCACCCACATTAAATCTCAACCACCTGCCTACGGGAGAGCAACAAAAAATTCGCCAAGTGGTAAGTGAATTTGCTTCGTTATTTAGTGATATTCCCGGATTTACTCAAGTTACTAACCATAGTATCGACACAGGAGATTCACTGCCAGTTCGCCACAAGCCATATCGTTACGATAAGAATAAAGAAAAAATTATAGAGTGGCACATTCGAGATATGTTACGTAAAAAGATCATAATGCCCATCTCAAGTAGTTATGCCAGCCCGGTTGTGTTATGTATGTAAGAAAAATAATGATTATCCAGTAACACATCCGAAAAGGTGGCGTTTTGCAATTGACTATCGTAAATTAAACTCCATGACTAAATATCCGGTATATCCGTTACCTATTATTGAAGAAATTTTAAGGAACATAACTTCTACGAAATACATGACTACGTTAGACTTAACGACTGGTTATTTTCAAATAGGGGTTCGACCGGAAGATGTGCCTAAGACTGGTTTTATAATCAAGTCTGGCACTTATGCACTCCTGCGTATGCCGTTTGGCCTTTCAGGGGCACCGGCAACATTTCAGCGATGTATGGACATTGTGCTAAGGCCTGTTCTAGGAAAGTCCACATTTATCTATTTAGACGATATCATTATTACTAGTGATAATCTGGACCAACATGTACAGGATTTACGAGAGGTGTTTTCATTATTAAATGAGGCCGATTTAAAAGTTAATGTCTAAAAGTGCAAATTTGCAGCCCTGAATTAAAATACTTAGGTTACAAAATATCTCAAAAAGGAATCGAGACGGACGAATTAAAAATAATCGCTGTGCAAAAGTATCCGCCGCCAAATACGGCGAAGAAGCTCTCTTCTTTTCTAGGATTTTGTTCATATTATAGGTCCTTTATAAAAGATTTTGCAGCTATTGCTAAACCATTGTTGAAATTAAAAAGGAAAAAGGCAAGATTCTCGTGGACTGCCGAAGCCAATAGTGCTTTTGAAAAATTAAAGCAAGCATTAACGCAAGCCCCTGTTTTGAAATTTCCTGACAATGATGAGAATTTAGAAATTTCAGCGGATGCTTTGGATTATGCGGTAGGAGCTGTACTTTCGCAAAATCAGCAGCCCGTGGCATTTTTAGTAGAACTTTAAATCAAACACAAAGAACTTATTCCGCGACTGAGAGAGAGGCACTTGCAGTTCTGTTAGCAGTGCAAAAGTTCCGAGTCTATTTTGGAAGGGCGCCAGTAACAGTGTATTCTGATCATGCGGCGGTAACTAGATTGTACTCAGGAAAAAACTTATTCCCAAGGTTAAGATGGACACTCAAGTTACAAGAGTATAATTTGGTAATTAAGCACACCCCCCGCAAAGGAAAATATCGTAGCAGATGCCCTAACCAGAATAAAAATAAATGAAGAAGGTAATACTGTAAAGGTGGCTATGCTCACAGCATGTACGATACATTCCCGAGAAACTGTAATAACCGAACTGGGTAAGGATCCGGAATTTAAAAATATTTATGATTATTTAAAAGATCCTGAAAATTTTTTAAAAAGATATTGTAGCGATAAGAAATAGGGCGGCCCATTACGAACTAATAGATGGTCTATTATTTTATACAAAAACTACGAATTCCAACAACGAATTTCGACCTGTTGTCCCAGCTAGTCTTAGATTAAATATACTTCAGTAGTTGCACGACTCCCCTTTAGTTTCTCATGCTGGTATTCGAAAAAACATCCATCGCGTACGCGAAGCACTTTATTTTCCTGAGCTGCAAAAGTTAACAAGGGCGTATGTCCAGTCCTGCCCATCATCTTGTAGTTAATTATATTAATTTCCGCCCGGCCGGGTTTCTAAATAGCATTAAATCCGAATTTCCAAATGAAATAATTGGCATCGATTTATTGGGCCCTTTCCCAAAAAGTCAGTTAAATAAAAGTCGCTATCTCCTTGTTATGGTTGATCATTTTAGTAAGTGGACCGAAATTGTTCCCTTAAAACGAGCCTCCGCGAAATTAGTTACTGATTCTATTTTAAATAAATATATTTTAAAATACGGGGCGCCCCTAAAAGTTATATCGGATAATGGTCCTCAATTTGTAAGTAATATATTTGAAGACATGTGCCAAAAACTGGGCATACGTCATTTAAAAAAGGTCCCGTATCGGCCGCAATCAAATATAGCGGAACGGGTCAATAGAAATATAGTGAAAATTATCCGTAGTTATGTTAAAAATTTTCATAAAAGCTGGGATAACTATGTCAATGAATTAGCTTTCGCCCTTAGGACCGCAAAACATGATACGACGGGCAAAACTCCTGCTGAGTTATTTTTAGGCAGAAAAATTATAACGCCGTTAGATAAATTATTTTATGTTCAACAA